ACAAATGATACTGAAACTATTCAAACTGAGCGTGTATGTTTACAAAAAGTCATGATGCCACGTTGGTCTGTAGGCCTTTTCATCTCTGCATCACCAAGTAACACCTTTCTCAGGCTACATTATGGTGTCAAAACACTGAGGAGAAATCCTGAGAATTAATTAAATGCACTATGGCAAAAGGAAACTTATCTAGGCTCTGTCAACTATTACATGCCTCTGGGTGTGATACTATTCTTCCTAGCAGATGTTGAAGCTGCTGGAAGTTGCCTGCCAAGTCTCTTTGGTTTGTGGAAGCTGATTTCCCTCAATGGAGCTGGTCTGACTTCTTTCCTGCTGATGTCTTTCCACATGCACACTCCAGAAGTAACCGCTGCTTTCTCTGTCCTTCCCATCCTAACATAGAGCTCAACTTTGAATAATATTGCAGCTGCATGGCTGCAGCATGACCCAAGCCTGACATTTCACAAAATCATAATAAACATACTGGGCTTGAAAGTAACATTTGCTCTCAGACAAATCTCGGCTCTGGCTATGAAGTAGGTAAACATCTAACTTACTAGACATGTGAGTAAGTATCCTAAGCTTAATCAGGTTTTGAATGTAACTGAATGATATTGGCTGCTGACATTTTGAACCCTGTTGTCATTGTGTTGTTGTTCATGAAAATGTTAGTTTCAAACCCTGGTTATGATGAGAAAGTTACAGGGCAAGGCATACGATTTTGATATGGAAAGGTGAGTAATAGCCAGCTGAAAGGACAGTAACACACCCCTGAACTGTTACCTACAAGCCCACATCACCAAATAATATGCTACTTACCCCGCCATACAGGTGCAATTCGCTGTGAGGACGTAGTTTTCTCGTTGGTTGATTATAACCCAAGCCTCATACATCGTTGTCTTGTGTCCTTGTCTTTGACTAGGGAGAATTTCTGATCTCAAAATACAAAACTCTGAGTCTATGTCATGGTATTTGACGTTCTGTACATGACCACAGACAACGTATTCGTAAGCATCCAGTGATTTATAGGCTCGTAATTTCTCTCTGGTGTACACGCTCGGTTTCTCAATTAAATAGGTATATATATCTGGCCACTGTATATTCGGCCACTTGCTAACGTCTTCAACCCACTCATCAATAGAACACGGATCTGGAAGTCTGACACCATTTGTCAAAGTCAACTTGTTAAGGTAACATTCACGATCTTTAGTTGATAATCCCCTTGCGTAGCTTGACAAGCTGTTTATCTCTGCCATCCTTCTGTTGCCACCATGCGCGCGCATACGTTCTACGTCATCATTGTGTACAAACTAGGGCTGTCAGTCGATTAAAATATTTAATCGCGATTAATCGCATGATTGTCCATAGTTAATCGCGATTAATCGCACATCTTTTATCTGTTCTAAATGTACCTTAGAGGAATATTTTTCAAGTTTTTAATACTCTTAACATATGAGTGGACAAATATGCTTTATGCTAATGTTTATTATCATTTGAACAATGACAAATATTCTCATGAATATTAAACACAACAACCTCTGAACATTACAAATATTCGCCTCAATTCAACCAGGAACCTCTCTCATACAATAATACAATATAAATGGTGTGTGTGTGTGTGCGTTGGAGCTATGTGCAACTCAAGGCATATGCTCGAACCGGAGCTGCCTGGACGCTGCAATCATGTTGCACTATCCGTGCTGAGTGTGCTGACTTCTTGTACAATGTCCCACTGTCTGGCTTCCTGCATAAAGTCAAGTGCTCGACGCAGTTGTGGCGAAATGTCGCTCCTCTGTTTTCATTTGAACAGCTCCTTATAGCCGTTAGCGCAGCTAGCTAGCACCAGATGCTAACAACAACAATGCACGTAAGGTCTCTCTCTCGCTCGCTCGGGCCACACATACACACACCCTCCCGGTCCTCCCAATAGCCAGTCGGTGCCTGCCGGTGAGCGTGGAAGTGTGGTCTGCCACAAGCGGGCGGTAGGAGCGGGGCTGTCAGCATCAGCTTGTAGATGGTATTTTAAACTCGATGCGCTCTGAAACTACGGGGCGGCCGAGGAAAAAAAATACACATGCGTTAATCGCGTTAAAATAATTAGTGGCGTTAATTTTTTTTTGCGTTAACGCGTTAACTTGACAGCCCTAGTACAAACACAAAAAGGGTCTATAGGCCGTTGTTGTGAGTGTGGACGGTCGGAGCATATAACGTTAGCTTAGCCAAGCTCCATTTATAAAACACACATTTTAAAAGGTTTTTCGTCTGTCTGCAGACTTGTCAAAGCATTAATTCATGGTTTTTACTAACCGGTATCAGTATGTTGTTACTTCGGCATCATTTTGAAACGTGTATTACAATTAAATCACGGTCAAATATGTTCATCTTGTTGTAGTTGTAGCCCCCTTGCCAGCGATTCTCTCTCTAGTTTAGCATACTCAGCCCGACTCAGCCTGGTTGTTCCTGGTCCTAGAACCACGATTTTATGGGGCCAGAAAAACTGTAAATTAGGACCCGCTAGCCGGTACTAGGCCAAGTGGAAACGCACCAAAAACGGGCACGGTACGTTTAGGGCGAGCTACCCGCTTCAGTGGAAAAGCGCCATTAGAGGCTTAAAGGGATAGTGGAAATCCGCGAATTTTGGGTTTAACTTATGTATTTGTATTAAAAATAAGCATAATAAAGAATTTTTTTTAATTTCATGCGCCTAGTTTCATTTTATTTTCAATTTTACTGCGCCCTCTCAATGAAACGAAATACTTCGGGAATCGTCGGGAATCTTCGGGTGATGACGAGAGCAGAGGAAGACGGGCACAAACAATGGCGGACATTCAATAGCATTTGCATGTGAATAGCCGACCTTTATTATGGTGAATAGATGTGTTTTGTATGGCTGTAGTGCGACAGCAAATGCAGAGAATGGCGTATCGACTCATGCGTTTCCAAGAAACCCAGCCATTCGTCGTCAGTGGGTGAAATTTGTTCAGAAATGTTCACTATAGGTAATACTATAAGACTGTAAGACGGCAATACTTTATACCGAGTATATTGCCATAAATATGATGATTGATTATCAGTAAAAAATTCTACGTGACACAACGACATTGGATTAACCTTGAGATGCGTTTTTATTCCGTTGAACACAACTTTTGATCACAAATCAAAAAAGGTAAGACGTAATTATTGTAATATTTTTGGAACCGGATGTTGTTTACTTTCTCTTTTCTGGCTGATAGCTCCAGGAATTCGAGGTCTTACAGTGATGACATTACATCTGTGGAGTCTCAGCTTTAAATCGTATATCTTGTTTGTGCAGTTAAGATAGTAATAAGGGCATTTCCACCGTGTGTTGTGTGTAAAAAAGCGTTAGCATTAGTTAGCATTGTTTCGCTCAATGCTAATTCAAAGGCTTGGTATTACTCTTGTGTTTTTTCTAGCTAACAATTGTTCTTATTGTCAGTTAGCGGAGTTTCTTACCTTTAAAAGGGTATGAAACATTAATAGTTTCATAAATGTTAAGAAGCCCTGAGACATGTGAGAGGAAAAAAACTGTGGGAGGGGTCCACTGGGGGGACCTACGGGCTTAACTGGTTAACAATGATTCATATTTGTAAAGGCTACAGGTGATCTTAAGATGCGTGAGCTATGCTTAGGGACCTACCAGTCAAGATTATTTGTGCAGGGGTGCATCATCTGGCGCCTGGTCCTGGTCATCCTCGCCATTGCCCATGCCGTGAACCATCACCTCGGGCTCGGGCTCGAACAAATAAGGACGTAATGGTCCATCGTCTGGCTCAATATTCTCACCATCGTCGCTTACTGAACCGGATTCAGATTCAGTTCCTAAAACGACATTTTCGTAGGAAAGCCGAGAGGATGTTTCTGACTCGCTATCATCACTGGATACCTCGTACAATCCTTCTTCTTTGTCTGGTATATTTGCCCTTCCACGTTCATTCTGCGTAGACGCCATAGTTTGTTATCGTATCGTCTTCCTGAGTTTTCGTCACTTCCGGTTTGGCTGAGTCGAACATTTCGTTTCTAAAAAACTTCGGGGAAGCTGCAATAAAGTGCTTCTAACATGCGTAAGGCAATTATTATATTTTTGTAATCAGGTGTGATTGTTTTGGTACGTAATTATGCTTGTATATAAGTTAAAACGAAACTATTTGAGGTTCCATTTCCACTATCCCTTTAAATATTGATTGCAAATGAGTTGCAGCTGGGAGCACAGGTGAGCTGATGAGGTGGGAGAGGCTGATCAGTGGGGGGAGGTGGAGGCGGGGGTTGTGGAAAAGTATTGAGTGCAGCAGGTAAGTATAGAGGAAGCAGAAACTCAAAAACGAACAAAAAAAAAGGCAGTGGAAACGTAGCAGCTGAAGAAAAACTGATGCCATCTGGATTAATATCAGAAGATAAAACATAATTTTCACATTGTAACAGGAGAAGCATAAAACCATGGATAAATTGTGAACTATTTCTCAAAAATAAAAACATCCCACCCATTTAGACTAGGAGGACCTAAGAAAACGACGCTCCCTCCTCTCCTGTCCTAAGGTAACATCGCACAACTGGGATTTATTCCCATTTTACAAATCTTATTATAGGGAAACTGTTTAGAACCCAAACTGCCCAAAGCAGAAAAAAATCTCGGAGAAAACGTTTTTTGTACATATTAAAGACATAAAATAACAAAATGCCTCATTTTCAAACAATCAAATTATACATTTTGATTGAAAAGGCAATTGTCTTAATGTTTGTAATGACCTTGGTAAGTTTAATATAAAATACATATTGGTTAATGTTTACCCTATTAACATGTAAGTCTCCACTTCAACTTTTATTTGTTAATATTTTTCATTGGATAATTGTTATGTATATTTATTTTACATTACCATGAATACGCGGATTCCATGATGATCGAACTACGATGAAGGTGGTATTTCCGGTCATGTCCAGAAGATGGCAGTAGAGTGACATGTAGTAAAACTACCAGCTGAAGTTTAGCCTCAGTGAAGAAGACCTCTGCTACAGGAAAAGCATGATGGCGCGGGATGTGTGTTGTTTCTTCGCCTCTCTGCACTGCGAGACCCGGAGGTAACAGCGGTGTGACCGCGGGGCTCAAGCCGAGAAACAGTGACACACTGACGGTTGATAAGAGACGCGTCGTTGTGGTTAAGAAACCAACAATGGAAGAGAACCTGATTCGGAGGGAGGCAGCTCGCCCGCCGAGGAGGGCGTCTGCCGCTGCGGCGGAGGTTGGAGCTAACGATAGCCTGCAAGATGGCGAGGTTTACACGGCCTGGGAAAGTCAAGCCGGTCCGGAGAGACTCGGTGCTGCTGCCGGGAGGGCGGAGCGGCGGAGCTGTGCACCGCTGGCGGTCCACCACCGGCACATGCCGATGGGACTCCTCAATATACCCATACCGAGGAAAAAGGAAAACAGAGGTCGGTTTCTGTTTCGTAAAGTCACAATATATTAACCAGAAGCTTTATATTTTCACGTAACATTACACTCAAACTAAAGATATTAGTTATTAACCCTAGTTACCAGTTTATTTAAAGTTGGTAGGCTCGAAAATATGCATTCTCAGGCAACATCCAAAGTCCATTTCGATGCCCGTTTGTTTTTAGTTACATCACTACACATGACTTATAAAGCAATGTTAATGCCTATATTCAAAAGTGCTGTCAGATATATTAATTATAAATAAACTATTAAAGCTTTGTTTGAAGCTGTTATTTGTTAAAAGCTTTATATATACAGTCTCTGGTTAAAAGGTAGAGGCTAACTGTAAAATCAAAGATGCTAGTTAGCAGTTAGCCATCTAACTTCGGTGCTTGTTGTTGACAACTTATTTTAGTGACCAGCTAACTGTAGTTTTGTTTAATTGATCTAAATGTACATATTCATGAACTTCTGCGTCTTAAAGCCTTACCTCAGATTTATGTTGATCGTATCTAAATGAGTATTAGCTATTTTAAGGTAAGTCTTCTCGATTTGTTTACATTTTTAGAAAGTTGGGAGTGTGTGTGCGCACATGTTGAGTACTCTCTCTGCTTGTTGTGTTAATGGAAACTATATATAATCAGTAAGACACAAATTGAAAACATAGCAAGGACATGTTTGATAGTTATCCTTTTTATAGATGGCACTTGACGTTTTATAAGATAGATAAGATACAACTGTATTGGTTCTGGAGGAAACTATAGTGCACGAGATTGCTCACAAACAAACGGTATGAATACATATAAAGTGTATAAGAACACTAACACCAGTGAATTTAAGAATAACAATTAAAGGAAGATAAAGTATAAGAAATGAAAATATTGCTATGATATTGAAAGTAATGTTAAAAAAACATCACCATAACAATACAAAAGAGAAATAAAGAAGTAATAGTGAAAGATAAAAAGGTAACTTAATTGGAATTATACATTAAAATGTACATTTAGAAAGTGTCTATGAACTAACAACACCAATGCCTAATATTAGTGATGCGCCGATCGGTATCGGCTGATACTCACTCTCTACCGATCGATCGGTGCTCTCTAAAAATGCCGATCGCATGACGTAAAGTTATGACGTAAAATACATGACACTTTTCTCTGTGCGCGGCAAAACAGGGAACTAACGGGAGCTCTGGTCCAAGCACCTGAAGGTGGATCAGCTTCCCTGGGAGCATTTCCCCTTCCACTAGTTTTGTTTTTACTAAGGACAAGAGCTTGAAACAAAATATTAATAAAGCGCTGCCGTTTGAATCGATAGCCTTTAACAGACGGTCGCTGTTTGGGACGTGGCATTGGGATAAAAAATTTTTAAATCCTCTGGAGCAGAGAGAGGAGCTGTGGATTATTGTTATTGATTAATGCATCAGTGTTTGTTAGTGTCAAAAACAACTTAAAATGAAAGCGTTTAGTTCATTTAATAAAAGAGCACATGTGAAAAGTGACAGTAGATATAGATTAGTTGCAATTTGGTGCTATATATATATATATATATTAAATACAAATAAAGCACGGGGCTCCGTTGGCGGGGCGCAGCGCCCCTCCAAGACAATGGTAGGGGAAACACTGCTACTTATTAGCTACATGGCCCTAACGTGTAAAGCTATACAAGCATTTGTACCAGTACTTTTCACAAGTAGACTCTTGCAGGCCAGAGTAGCTGGAATGATTCAACCACAATAAAAAGACATATCTGAGAAGTGATCAGGACGAACAGAAAGAGGAAAAGGAAAAGAGAGTACACTGAAGACACCAGGAGGGTTAGAGCAGGAGAAAGCCAGGAAAAGATGAAGACAATAGTGAAGAAGAAATGTATGCGAGGAATAAAGATGATGTGTCAGAAAGAGGAACAGAGGCAGGGATCAGGAGGCAGATAAAACTCCAGCTGGACCACATGGTATATTTTTATTCTTCTTGCATATATATTCCAATACTGCAGCACAATCTAGCGGCTCTTAGTATTGACAAATATTTATTGAACAGGCTTAACAGGCTTTTTTTTTCACGAAACTGTGTCTCAGGGCTTCTTAGAATTTAATAAACTATGAATGTGTCATACTCACTTAACGGGAAGAAACTAAGCTGACGATATGAATTTTCTTTACCGAAACAAAACACAAGTCTCACAAGAAGCGTCTAAATGAGCCCTGAGCGAAAAAATGCTAACACACTTAGCACAGAACTCTAGGTATAAATCGATCGATATACTTATCAGATCAGCACAAACCAGCTTAGCTAACAAACTAAGATTCCACAGATTCTATAAATATAAGTATCATCACTGAGCGATAAGAACTCGCGACAGGGGAAGCAAAACCAGACAACACACGACGTAGCTTTAGGTAGCAAAAAATGGAGATATGCTCACCTTTTGCTGTTATTCTGATCAAAAGTTGTGTTCAATGGCATTAAAACGAGAAACGCGGCTGAAGGTTAATCCAATGTGTCTGTCACTTTGGAAAAATGGTTGATAATCCATAATTCAATTTTTATGTCTTAGCTGCTAATGATAGCTTCCAGAGTGTATGACAGCTTCCTGTTTCGGGTATTCTGGCTACGCGTCACTCTCACTCCTTATTTGGTAAAGTGTGTGTGTGTGTGTGGAACTTCCCCTCGATTCCATTGGCTCTAACGGTTAAAAAGAGATGTCAAACATAAAAATCGACCAAGGGGGGCCAGAGATAGGTCAAATCCACCCAAATGCCCCCAGAAGTGGGTTTATTTAGTTAAATCTCTCTAAAAAGATCACATTTAACTTGTTTTGCATCAATCTTGATACAGGGTACTTATTATATGTTATAGTTTGGATTCCTAAAACTTTTAGTCTACTATCCCATCATTCAAGCGTGTTTTTCACTATAAGTAATGTGTTTTTTTTGGACGGACACAATCATTTACATATTTTTTAACTATGTTCAATCTGAATTTACTTTAAAATAAAAATAAATCTACATTGAATCTGACTTTTCTACATCCAACTCACAGGTATATCATTGCTTTGAGAAAAAAGATAATTAATTTTCCCTTTTTAGAAGTGTAGTTATGGTCATTTGTTCTGGGAATGTCATTTTCGAGCCTGAGACCTGGAAAACAGGCTCGCGGCTTAACAGGTTAAATTATTTAAAATTCACAGTCCTGAATGTGGGTTTGTGGTGAATGTGGGGATCTCCACGACACACATTTTCAGAGTAAAGGCTTTCACATTATTATAATTATAATTTTATTGAAATGTATATTTTACACCACAACTAACGTGTCTCTCGCTCGCATCTTACGGAGGCGGAGCTAAGACGCAAGGAAGGGACGCGAGTGAGGGAAAGGAGGAGGTGAAATATTAAATTGAGACGAGTCTCCAAAAGACTGTCGGCCTTTTACAAACCCCGTTTGGTCCGGGTGGATGATTCTATGCAGAACAGTCTCAAGGCGCAGAGCTAAAGCTTTGGAGAGAAGCTATAGAAGCAATAACTCTCCTTACCAGCAGGCGGCAGTAGTGTGTATTCGTCATTCAAAAGAGGCAACCGGAAGACAGACTGCTTGATATACAAACTTCAGCTCTCTGAAGCAGAAATAAACTATTTAAGCATTGTGGCTGGCAACCTTAAAGTACTGCTGCTACCACATTCCATGCATCAGTAATTATAATCCACGATTATATTAATATACAACATGATCATAACACTGACAGGCAAATAATGTATCATCATGTACGTCTGTATCTTATGACTTTTATTGTAGTATAGCACATTTTATCCTCATTCTAATGTTGTGTTATCTAATGGCTGTAGAATGAAGGTACGAAATAAAGTTTAATATTTTGCAGTAGAGGTAAAAAGTGGTTTATTATCAAATGTAGAACTGTACAATGTAAACAATCGACAAATACAATAAGATAAAAATAGCCGCATCGTCCAGGGTCCTGTCTGTTAAATACTTGAAGAAGCTATTGTCCACCTCATGCAGGAAGTGTGGCAGCAAATTACGTGGCTGAGTTGGTCTTCGTTTTTTTCATTCCAGATCGCCATGATGTAAAATAAATTATTGCGTCCAGGTGAGATGAAAATTAAAAATAATAGCCTTCTGTGTGTGCCTAATCGTTTGTGTGCGTACCTCACTTCCGTTTCGCTTCTCATGCACTGATTCGCTAAGCTGAACAGCCAATCGGGAGTGATTTATTTTGCCAACAGCCTCCGCTGCCCTATTCAACTTGGTCAATCGGCAGCGGAAGGTGTCGGCACGGCCGAAAAGACACGACGGTGCGGGACACACCAATCTGAGTAGGGCGACAGGACGCTCATCGATGGCCAGACATATATCGACGGCCAAAATCGGCTTGGTGTGTCAGGGCCTTTAGAGTCGCATTTCGCTGTATCTTTGCCCTTTTTAAGGATGACTGTTATCACCGCCTGAGCTAAGGTGGGGGGCAGTGAACCCTGCTGGAGTGCCTCTGCATATACTTCCCGCAGCACAGACAGCACAGTTTGCCTGCACATTTTGTCCGGTCCCGGGGCTTTACCACTTTTCATACTTTTAATAGCGCGATTTATCTTGTCATTAGAAATGTCCCCCTCTAAAGCCGAGACACCGTCAGGATCAGGAAGCTTAAGGTCCTTTAGAAAGTTAGTTGCCAGAGAGTCCTCAGACTTCTGATGAATAAAGATCTTCATAGAAACTCTTAAATTGATCATTAATGCCCCTCTGATCTGAAATGGTGTCCCCATTTACCGTTCTAATTTCCGCAATTAAAGGGATAGTGGAAATCCGCGAATTTTGGGTTTAACTTATGTATTTGTATTAAAAATAAGCATAATAAAGAATTTTTTTTAATTTCATGCGCCTAGTTTCATTTTATTTTCAATTTTACTGCGCCCTCTCAATGAAACGAAATACTTCGGGAATCGTCGGGAATCTTCGGGTGATGACGAGAGCAGAGGAAGACGGGC